TAAGTGTATTTAATTTAGTTATGTTAGTTATGATAGTTTAGTTATGATGTAAATACAATAAAAATTAAACCAAGATTTAGAATAATTATCATTTTGCTCCTTACATCGGTAATGTCTGATTGGGCCTCGTGCCACTTTATGTTCAACAAATTGGGCCCCGAAGTCAAAAATGTTAAGAACCCCTGCTTTAAAATGCTTCTGTTTCACATTAAATCATTCATTTAGCATCTATATAAAGTGGAACTGGTCTGAATTCCTCCTTATTGTAACTCCACAAGCCCCTCCTCCACCGATTTTCTGAGTGAGAGGAGTATTGTTGTATTTGGTAAGTTCAGAACTTATTTGGAAGTTCCATCGAAATAACTTGACATAATAGTTCAGAAAACATCACAGAAAATAGAGAAAACTGAACGGGTTGAAAAATGTGACCCAAACAGAGTATAAAGATATCTTTGCAGAACTGGGAGACTAAATTCAACTTTACTGCACTCCTAGAAACTCAAGAACAAACAAACAAACAAATAAATAAAAAAAATGCATTTAATGGCTAAAAAAACAAGACCCCTTTAAGATAAGCCTATTTTTTTCTACATAAAGGCAGCTGGCAGCACAAAACATAATGAACAAATCCTATTCTAGGCTAATCGCTTTATTCTTACTGCGTGAAAAAAGTATRGAGTGCATCAGACAGTAAATCAGCTGCTTTTATTGTTAAATTTTGGACACTACCTGTTCAAAGTATGTTTAAAAGTATTTCTAACTTGGTGTTACTTATGTGGAAATAAATCATTTAGCGAATGTATACTAATCTGAACTGGAGATTACCTGAAGACCTCTGCTCTACAGCCTGAGTGCAACACTTCACACCCATCCCACACGAAATCAACCATCACCAGGAGTGTGTCCACCCTCACCCAGGATGGATCAGTAATCTGTGAACTTTGTACCTGGAAGCTGCTTACCGGGTCACGAACGCCTCCAGCACAGCCACGCTCTCTTTGGGGAAGTAGTCCTGCCGGACAATGTGCTCCAAGGCCTGGAGGTGGCCCGGGACCACTAGCACGGGCTTGACCTTGTCCTCGCTCTAAAACAGAGAGGACAGCACAGATGGACAATAAGATAGAAAAAAAAAAAAAAAACAAAGATTGTTAAAGTATAAAATGGAAAACACGACAAATAAAATAATAATAAAATTGTTGAGACATAAAAAAGTGACTAACAAGCTGAATTTGTCCAAACAGAACTTACCTTGATAAATCCGAGCAGCACTAACAAAGACGATACAAAACTGTAGCTTTGAAAGGAAGGAGAGCTGAACGCTTTATTCAGAAGACCATCTGTGGAAACAAAAGCACATTCTCAGCAACAAAAATATTAAATAAAAAAATACTGCAATGTTTGCTCTAAGCTTTTAAGGCAGAAGAAAAGTTCAGCCTTTGATCAGTCATGATTCTGATAATAATGTTGTTTCTCCTACAATTAACCAAGAAGGGCGCCCTGCCACCCCAACACAACTGCCCAGCCCTCATGAAGGTCATGACATGTAATCATATATATGTCTGTGAATGTTCACAAGTGTTAAATTCATAGTAGCCAGAGGAGAAGCATCTTTTATTTGTATCTAAAGGCCCTGTCACATTGTAATGTTTCAGACAACTTATGAAAAATTTTATGTCTAAATTACTAATAAAAGTTTGATCAATTTGTTAGTATTACAGTAGGTACATGCCTAAAAGAGGCTTCCAGTTGGGCCGTGGTCTATGTGGGCTGCAAACCCTGAATTGAGACACAACCATTGACTGAAATGCTAATCCAGAGCTAGCAGAGAGAAGCTGCTACGAAGGGTTCTGCAGCTGCAAGAGTGTGCACAGTCAGTGTGTCTCTGTGTGACAGTTTCTGCTGCTTTAGTTATTAGAATAAAAGATTAATGTTAAAAGACAAATATCTGTATCACCAAGACAACAGAAAAGGCCTCCGTTTATCTGCATTTGGCTGAGACTGACGACAAAAATAACCGTGACTCATTTAGAAGTTGGTTTCCTCAGCATGTCTCATCACACCAAACTAACCAGTAAAGCCAGTTTTATGTTCCCAGCTCTACTTCCTCTTATTGTTGTTTCAGAGTTTGAATTAGACTTGATCAAATATCGTGAGCAAGAACTCAAAATGGTTAACAGACGAGTCACACGGTAAGATTTTAAAACTGTCGGCTGCTTTTCAGACTGACACCATGTGTGACACAAAAAAAAAAAAAAAAAACATCATAGATATACCAGGCTTGGTTCTACAGTGTGTGGTGTACAGTCACATGGCAAAGACAACACACCACACAAGAAACATATTTCACTCAACAACATTCAGATGGCACAGGAGAAATCTTGCAAAAGCTCTAGAGATCAAACGTGAGTTCAGAGTACATAAACATGGCTGACGAGGAAAAAGCAATGGTGATACTTGGTGGACAAAACTAAAAGACGTCTCCAACGTCCACCAGACTTTCTGGTACACCATGGCAGTTAAGTTTTCTTTATTTTTCCCTCTGTGTTTCTGTCACCTCTCTAATTGGCTACACATCACATTCATCAGGCTGCGAGCTCGTTTGTCCTCGTAAACACCACACACGCTGGGATAACAGGCAAAGACGGTCCAACATGATGAATATCCCTGATGAGAGGTCAGAGTGATCCTGACATCCTGAACCGACTAGATCACTCCTAACACACCACACATGACAGGAATATCTCCTAAGATGAACTTCAGAGCATCATTATAATCGGAGTGTAATTCAGATTATCAGAAGAAGAAAATCGTGTCAAAAATTGGCACAATTATCTCGGTTAAAAAAAAAACATTTGGACCCACTCCAGTTCAGCATATCGGACACAGAAATAAATTCAGATACAAAACTTTAAATTCAGTTTTAAACCATTAAATTCAGTTTCAATTTAGTAAAACTCATTTTCAAACCAATGCATTCAATTTCAAATTATGCACATTCAGATTCAATATGAGCAATTCAAATTCAATTCCTGCTGGCACAAGATTTATCCCATATGAAGCTGTTGCGATGGTGCATCAATGCAAATATCTTGGAATTGGTCTGGAGGATAAACTGACTTTTGATGCTCACGTCAACTCACTCTGTAAGAAGACTCAGAGATGTAGTTTTATCAGAAACTCTGTGGAGTTAATGTTAATCATGAAAATGTTTTATTGAGTCTTAACTTTTACTTTCATGGTAAATGTAAATGGTAAATGGACTGTACTTTTATAGCGCCTTTCTATCCATCCAGGACACTCAAAGCGCTTCACACTACAGACATTCACCCATGCACACACACATTCACACACTGATGATGGCAAACTACATTGTAGCCACAGTTGCCCTGGGGCACACTGACAGAGGTGGGGCTGCCATACACAGGCGCCACCGGACCCTCTGACCACCATCAGTAGGTAAGGCAGGTAAGGTGTCTTGTCCAAGGACACAACGACTGAGTCGACTGGACGGGGATCGAACCGGCGGCCTTCCGGTTCCAGGACGACTCCCCTAACCACTCTACCACAGCCGCCCCTTCATCTGTTGGTTTGGAGTTTTCACATGTAAGAACAGGAACAAACTCTTGAGGATTGTCAGGATGTTGCTGGTATAGACCTATCAAACCTCACTGACCTGCACAAGGTGAGGTCAGTGAAAAAGGTCAGACTGGTCCTGGCAYACCCTGATCACCCACTCCATGGTGAGTTCAGGTTGCTTCTGTCCAGACGCAGTTATCAGTTGCCCAGATGTAAAACTAATAGACTTTAAAACTAATTTATCCCTGCAGTAATCAAACTRCTTAATGAACATTTGTGATCTTGTTTGTCTTTGTGTAATATGAATGTTTTGTTTTTAATGTCTACTGACTGTGCAACAAAATGCCTCTTGGGAAAATAAAGATTTTTGAACTTTAACAGTCAGGAACCTCACTGTGTCCGAGGACAACAACAACCACCACCTAATCAATAAGTAGAGCTCCATTATCTCACCAATAGTGTCCAACACGGCGTACTTCACATCACTGTTTTCCTCCTTGTACACAGATGCAATTTTTAGGAAGGCTTCAGCTGTTTTTGCTGCATCTGTAATGTCCACCTTCACAGACAGAAAGACAGAAAAACAACTTTTAACACTGCAGAAAAACCTAAAGTGTTCATTTTCCTGCTTCACTTGAGTTTCTTCTATAAACAGATCAGTGAAATCCTATGTAAACTTTCCATCTTCTTTACCTGCTGTTGGACCAGCAGGGCTCTCTTGGCTCCCAGTTTGAGCAGCTTGTCTGGAGATGGAAAGCAAAGGAATGAAGAGACGTCGGGTGGCCGAGGAGGTGCTGTTGGAGTYGACAGCTGTGTGGACAAAAGGGATAAGGTCACCTATTAAATGTAGACTGATGTTAAGCAAGACATAAACAGATGGACAGAAAAATACAACTATTTAGGCTGAATTCATGCACGCAGGTTTTTCTGTTTTGTTTCTCTTTGCTACATTGTGATCACACACTATCCTGGGCAAWAAACCAAAAAATAACTGATACCGACATTTATGACGTCACCGATGTCATTTTATCCATGTCGGTATTTWAAAAAATGAGAAAAAGAGAAACCTGCTTGTTTTCTGTTGTGGTCTTATTAAAGCCGCCCAGTCTGATACAGGTTTAAACAAASGCTYCTTTCAACAAATCAAACAAAGCCCACAGCTTTATCCAATCAGAGAAGGGCAGGGCAGGTCTTTCTGATGTCAGAGCAGCAGTCTGCAGGATAAACACCGGTCAGCCTGCAGCTCCTGTCCTGAGTGAACAAACCCCGTCCTCCACACTTCGCTCCCGAGCTACCCGAGACATTGGTATCTAAAATCTAACACACTATAAGTTTATGTGTTCAGAGCTTCATTATCTAACAGATATGTCCAACTTTGCTTGCCTGACCAAACTCCTCTCCTCGACAGCGCTGTTACGGGAGTGCACCGAGGTGCARACAGGCTGTTCTGAGAGCTGCTGTTTCAGTTCTTCTAATGAAACAWTAACTTTAACAGATGAACATTTGTTTGTCCCATATTATAGAAAAGACGTCTCTGCATAGCGTTACCCCCKACCCAAAAAAAAAAAAKCACCCGCTGTGTAGTTTATCATGTCTACAAATTTCATTCTTCACAATATAGTTTGCTTATATTTAGAACCATACTGTGACTGAACTGCTCTGTGATTCAATAAATGATCAAATACGAAGAATAAATAGTATTAAATGATTACATGAGCTCTCTAAATAATATAACTTTTTTGAAAGCAATAGTTATTTTAATAGAGAAATCAGTCAGTCTCACAAATAAAAACGTATTTGTCATTTTGTGCAGTACAACAGACATATTTGGTATATTTTTTAATATAAAATTATACATAATGTGTTTGTTTGCACTGAAAAGTTATGGAGATGGTTAAATATTTGTATGACTATATCTGACTCAAGTCTTGCCAAAAATGTTTTTTATTAAATATATTAAAAACACTAAAATGACAAATATAAACTACAGAAAAGCTGTTCAAAATCTAAACTGTGTACTTTCACTAAGAACATGGACACAGTGTATAGTGTTATGACTATACTACACTGTGTACTTGTGTGTGGTGGTGGGTGATAAGAGTTATCGTGCATTTATCGTTAGAGGTGAACTGGTCAATATATCGTGATATTGATTTATCGCCCAGCCCTATCACACACATTACCTGGTTCTGGCTGCTTTCCTCTCCCTTGTCTTCTTCCTCGTCTTCTTCATCCTCCTCATCTTCCTCCTCCTCCTCATCATCATCATCTTCATCCACATCTTCTTCATCCTTGTCATCTTCATCATCATCCTCGTCTTCATAATCATCATCGTCATCTTCCGGCTCGCCCTCATCATCACTGAGAAAAGATCGAAGACATAAAAAAAAGAGCAGTTTAAGGTGACTTTGTCTTCTACTCCAACTTTAAGCTCAAAAAGTAAAAGGTTTTAAGATTTGATGATGTCATCAGCGGCCTGCTCAGCTGCTCATACAAAATAAAGGCATGTCACTAATGTTGGCTTTACTTTGTAAACTCAAGAGGCTACATTTAATTTTTTCTGGTTCATCCTTTCTACTCAGACATCCAAACCACCTCAAATGACTCTTTCTGATGCTGAGGATTAGTGACCTCGACTCTGATGGAGACTCATGTTGTTTCCCTACAGAGGAAACCTATTTTAGCCACTTGTCTTTTGTTTTTTTCTGTCATGATCTACATCAAATGAGGGCTACAATTTAGTCAGCCTCTTAAGAGATAAGCATCCTACCATCACTTGTGAACAAGACTTCCAGATTCTTTAACTCCTCCTCTTTAAGATGCTTTTCCCAGTGAAGAACCCTGGCCTCATACTTAATGGCTGCAAAGATGAGCCTCTCTTTAGGCTGCCCCTGTCTGTTCATAAATCACCGTTCAAGCTGCCCAGATCAAGCAAAGGTGTGCATTTTCATTTATCAATCCAGCCTCAAAAATCAAGAGGCATAACTGTGAAATGAAATGCGTGTTGGATATCTCCTGTGACGTATGTGACATTCTAAATCCTGCCGGTCACGCAGACTGTGTTATCACCACATCCCGCTGCTGAGCCGACTTCTCCTTTCATACATCCAGTTACTGCATTGTTACTACCTTGCTTGGAAGGCGTGTCAGCAGTGAGCCGAAATTAAGCATTCAGACTACCTCAGTCCTTTCAGAAATCACTCTATGACCAGAAGAGGTTTACTCCCAGCTTTACACGTTGTGGGACAGGCCCTTTAGAACCATCTGCACCATGTRGCACTCAGCTGCAAGCCAGCACAGAGCACACTGAAAGTCGTAGCCTGAAGGCACCACAGAACCACATCTTCAACATAAAACTGATCCTAGAAGCTCATCGTGTCCGACGCATTTACCTGAGTGATCCTAGAAACTCGTCCATGTTCATCTCCTCCATGGCGTCTTTCAGAGCTTTGCAGCCATCATCTCCTAGACAGTTCCCTTAAAAATATGTACAATGGTCACATTAATACATTTAAATAAATGCTAATAATATTTTACTTAAACCTATAAAATACTGAAATAAAATATCTCTCTAACAGATGATGAATATTTTCTATAAATTTGTGATAAAATGTAAATGTGTACAGTTTTTCGGTACCGTTCAGGTCCAGTTTTTCCAGCTGGTCCTTGTTCTTCACCGCCTGTACGACAGCCAGAGCTGCTTCTGCTGTGATCTCACCATACGACAGATTCAGCTCCTGTTGAGTTTAACAAAATATTCAATGAGGGGCGAAGGAAAGTGATAAGGGCTTATTTTAGCAAATCTATTTTTAAGTCATCAGAGCTCCATTTGCAATGTTCCACTGCATTACAGTAAAAACAGTTTGAAACAGAAATCAATACAATAAGCGTTATATTACTAAAAAAACATTCAACTCCCTTCAGTGAACATTAGATACTACGACAGAGTATTAGGGCCACATGACAAGATTTTTTAAAATTATTATTACGAGAATAAAGTCATAATCTTACATAACGTATCCATTTTCCGTTCCTCATTTCCTATTTATGTTCCTCACACCTGCTCTGTACAGCCATGTGTCTGTTGTGTTTATAAAGTAGTCTGTGATGACTTGGGTCACTGTTAGATTAATATGCTTTCATCCAAATTAGCTACGTGATGACTAAATCTGTCAGTACAGCTACAGTTTATCATATAGTCATTTGCACAATTTCCAAGTCCTGCTACTGATAATTTGATACCAATGTGCAAAAAGATTAGCTATTTATTTTAAGCAATACTAAAGAACAACTTGCTCTACATTCCTCATTTTAATGCTGTGGTAACGGCATGCTTTTTCATGTAAAGGGTATAGTATTATGACTTTAATTTTAGAATATTATGACTTTAATCTCATAATAAAAAAATAAATAAAAATAAATCTCATTGTGTGGCCCTAATACTCTGTTGTAAGATACTAACTAAAATACGTATGTTATATATTTCAAGGCTTACTAAATGAGTATAACTATGTAAAACAGAAAATTTTGTCACTGAATTGATGTTAACAATGTATATTTGTGATTCAAGCCCCAATTGGAAACAAAGATAATATTTTTAGCCAAATTTAACAAGTTAATAAACTAACAATGGACTAACCTGCAGATTCATGCTCAAGTAGTTTTAACTTTTAAGAATCGGATATTTAAACTGTTTTATCTAGGTCCTAAACGTTCATGTGGACAATGATCAGCAAATTCTGATAAACGTAACAGCTCGTGWGTGCTCAGATCTGGTGATGAAGTTCACTCACCTTGAGAATTGGCAGCCCCTCTGACACAGTTTCAGCGATAGCTTTAGCGCCTTCTGGCCGAACCAGACAGTCTCCGAAGTTGATCACCTGGATGTTTCGGAGGTGTTTCAGTGCCTGTTAGAAAAGACAATGTTTACTGAAGCCATACAAAAAAAACAAACAACAACAACAAAAAAAACAACAACCTGCAGCTACATTTCCACAGTCACGTCAAATATCAAACGCCTCCGTACCTGAGCCATGGCYATGGCCCCCTTCTCAGTAAAGGTGTTGTCATTGAGGTTTAGGATTCGGAGTCCTGGGTTGTGCTGCATGGCTGAAGCCAGCGCCGTCACCCCAGGGTGGTTGATGCCATTCTGGGGCATGTGAACCTCCTCCAGGCTGCCCATCAGCTGATACATGCATTAATATTTACACATTAATAAACAAAATGAATAACAATGAAGCCATTAGGTAAAGAGTCAACATATTTTAAAGCTCACACAGCAGACGGTTGTGTACCTGGAAGGCCTGAGCGAGTGCAGTGGCTCCGTCATTTTCCAGTCGGTTCCTTCCTGCAACAAACACCTTCAAGCTGAGGGGGGTTTTCTCTGCACTGGACTTTTGAAAACACTGACTCAACGAAGCGGCCAAAATCTGAAGAGTTCAAAAACGCTTATTAGAAACAAAATAAAGTTTAATACATGCTGTTAAGCATTATGCATTTGTAAAATGCGGTTTCTTTATTAATCCGTGTCCATCTCATCCTTTGACTTACCTTGCCGCCTCCAATGCCCATGCCGCAGTTATTGAGACGAAGTTCTTGCAACGTGTAGCAGGCGACGCTCTTTAGCAGCTTCTCAATGCCCTTAACGCCATCTGGTCCAAAAGCGTTGTCACTGAGGTCTAGAACAGTCAGCCTGGCACCTGCCAGCATCAGAGCATCACCCAGTGAATTCTACATCACAAAAACAGATAAACACATGTAAAAATTACTTCAGGGAAATCAAAGAGGTATTAAAACTAGCCAAGAAGAGCGTTGTTTTTTAAAAAACAGAAAGTTATGAACTGTACTCTCCAAGTCAAACTAATTTTCACTTGATATGGACATGAGTGTAGCACGTTACCAGGGCAGGAGGGATTTCAGAGCGCAGTCGACCAGTAAACATATCACTCCAGTAACAGCGCTGAAAGAAAGGAATAAATTAGTAAACATAAACAATATATGTTTGGTCAAAATTTATAGTATCAAACAATGGCCATTATTTAACATCAAAAACAGTTGATTTATTTAAAGATTGCTCAATCATCACATAATTTGCAAAAACTATTTAAAGACAGTAGGTATTTGTGAAAGCAAACAATAAGCTTTAAGTCTTGTGGATAGGGTAGACCACAATAGGTAGTTTCCTGTATTGTTTAAAGTTTATGAATCAGAGTGTATTTAAACGCAACTCATAAAAAAATCTGGATGCATAACTACATTCATACAGTTTCATATTGTAGGTAAACTGTCAGTAAGTCACAAAAGAAATGACAAACAGTATGAAGTCTGAACCTTGAAGTCGCTCTTCGTCTCCAGAGCCTTAGCGATAGCCTGTGCTGCTGCCACACCAATTGTGTTTCCCTCCAGTCTGAGAGCCTGAAGGCCCTCAAATTCCTGGATCTCCTTCACCATATCCTCCACTGTAGGAAGAGCGAGTGTCGTCAGGTTCAGAGTCAAGACATGCGTTAAAAATTCATTATGAACAGTGAAGACACAGGATTAAAAAAGGAAAGWGTTTAGAAAGTCTAAAGATGTAGTTTGTATAATAAAGTGTTTGCACTCACCTGACTGGGCATCATCCAGTTTTCTTCCCTGGCCTTTGTAACTCAGCTCTCCATCTTCGACTGCAGTCTTGGCCAGTGAGTCAGCCAACTGTGCAACAATGTCTGTCGCCATCGAGGTGCCTGAAGGCCAAACATTATTTTTCTTATTGTGCGTCACATTTAGCACCAGAACAAAGACTGCCAAACCAGGAGTCCCTCTTAAAACCTTTAATATATTGCATTGCATAATCATTATGACTTTTTATTTTTTGAGAGCTTACTCAATACAATTAGCTCAGAAAAAATCCGCTGCGCAAATAAATTACATGCTAAAACAATGTTTACATTTGATGCGTTCAAATCCATCTTTACGATTTATTTCATACTGGTAAGGCAATAAACTCTGAACCTCCTCCATTTGGCAACAAGAACGAATTATACGATTATTATTATTATTATATGACTTATACAATATTGTAAGTACTGTTAGACTTAAACCCACGTGTTTGAAGTCCGTTTAAGCTCCTAACCTAAGGCAGGAAAGACGCGGTAGCTTCCAGTTACGGCTAARACAGTATTAGCAAAAGGTTGCTAAATCATGGCTTCGGGTTTGACGTAGATGCGCAATAAAAACGCTACGTGTTTCATAGATAAACATAACACATAAAAGCAGTAATATGGAACTAAAAACAAAGAATTAATTTATTGTTTATCATAATACTAAGTAGAAAACCTGTAGGTAGCATTAGTAGTGCCGTTCACGTGAAACAGAGCGTGTCCATAACTCTCGGCCTTTTCATTTCGTACAACACCGCCGGTAATTCGCCGGTTTAAAGTGGTCGTGATATAATACACTCAATCGTGAACTTAGCTTAACTCTTATCTCTTTAGTTATTAAAAAATGACGTTATTACCTCAAAACTCCTTTTATGATTGAACCAAAAGTACGGTAACACACTCCCGCTCGCTCCTTCCGTTCAAAACCCAAACTCAGCAGCTTCCCGGCCGGCTTGACGTAAGAAACGCAAAGACACAAGGGACTTGTAGTCCAGTTGAACTACAACGAGACGTTCATGGGTTTCTTGGAGAAGTCTCTTGGAGGAGAGACGAAACGTTTCTTTCTATAGGGCTCTGGTTTCACCAAAGAAGAACCCATCCAGAGAACCTACTTATTTTTTTCGTTTTGATTCATGGGTTTCGCACTAGAACCACACCACGCCTATTCCATATGGTTCTCTGAATGAGAAAAATTTAAAAGAACGATCAGCATCTCATTATAGAACAAATCTATTATAAATATATAAGGCATATTATAATGTAACTAATTGTGAAATAATAAATCTTTTAGTAGTTATTTTGCAGACAACATCGGATTGTCTTCCAAGATCTCCCTGTATTTTGCAGTATTCATTTTACCATACAAGTCTTCCAGGGTAACAAGAGCACAAGTACTCACCTACAGGAGGTAGCTGGGGAGGTAAGGACTCCAATTCCCAGCATCCCCTGCAACAAATCGTTTAGTCGCGCTGTTTAGACGTCGTRAACACGTGACCGAAGTGATTTCCAGTGAGGCTGCTGGGAATCGAAACTTTAGAGAGCTGCTCGGTTGGAGTCGCTGCTTCACTTTCTGTTCTCCGTTTTTTATGTTTTTCTGCGCTAGTTCGTCTTCTTAGCTGCTGAAACTGGTTGTCCTTTTTCTACCACTCAAAACTCACCTTCAAACTTTGTTTTGGTCCGATGAACTTCCTCACTTCCTCAGGTAGGTGTGTCCAGCTGAAGTTGTAGTCCGTGGTGGGCCCAATCATGAATTATGCACTTTGCACCCCGCTTTGTAACTTTCGTGTGGTGGTACGTGCATGTTCTCAGGAAACATTTTCACTTGTTGTCTGGCACAACCTGACGAGTAATTCTGACATRAGCAATTTGTAATGAGGAAGTGTGATAGCTCCAAGATGATGTCCCACATTGTTAGACAGGGACAATAAAATGTGATATTTTATATGAACCATTATTAAGAAGTTCTTCTTTGTTTCTTTGCCAAATTATGCCTGATTTTTAGGTGAAAAAAGTACAAATGTTTATTCTTCAAACACACTTTTTTGTGATATAAAGTGTACCAAAAAGCCTGCAAACTTTTGGATGTACTGTAGTTTGATAGGTTTGCTTTCTTTCAAGTGTTAAGAAATTTACCAGATTTGATCTGTTGTTAGGACACTTGTGATTGCTATCCGTAGTCATGTGAATAKAGTGGGGTGCAAAAGTTTGGGTAGCCTTGTTCATTTTCCTGATTTACCTTTCATAAGTCATTGATTGTTTGGATTAAAAAAAATCTGTTAAATAAGTCATATAGGGGACAAATACAGTGATATTTGAGAAGTGAAATGAAGTTTAAATGATTTACAGAAAGTGAGCAATAATTGGTTAAATAAAATTGGGCAGTTGCATAAATTTGGCACCATTTTCATTTTATTGATTTCAAAACCTTTAGAACTAATTATTGGAACTCAAATTTGGTTTGGTAAGTTCAGTGACCCTTGACCTCCATACACAGTAATTCCATTTATGAGAAAGGTTATTTAAGGGAGGCAATTGTAAGTTTTTCTCCTCTTTGCTTCTTCTCTGAAGAGTTGCAGCATGYGAGTCTCAAAACAACTTTCAAATGAGCTGAAAACAAAGACTGTTCACCGTCATGGTTTAGAGGAAGGATACAGAAAGCTATCTCAGAGATTTCAGCTTTCAGTRTCCACTGTGAGAAACTGTGAGAAAATGGAGGACCACAGGCACAGTTCAAGTCAAGGCTCAAAGTGGCAGACCAAGTAAAATCTGGAATAAACAGAAGTGAAGGATGTTGAGAACAGTCAGAGTCAACCCACAGA